CTTTTTGATTATTCCTTTAAAACTAGAAATATTTTTTTCAGTGGCGTATCAATTATCCTATAGAAGATATTTTTAAAAATGAAAGCTTTTTCTGATAGGTTTTTGAGATACAGGGTGTTAAACTTAAAAAATACCACTTATTTGATAACGGTTATTTCAGGAGAAGGCTAATTAATAATTTTTGTGTCAAATCTTATTATAACATCTCTTGGCATTAGTTCTACATATGTTAATATTATAAAAAAATACACAAAAGTCAAGTCAACTAAAAATACGGAGTTTCACATTCATTAAAAAAATCGGATCATTATGTATAAAGGGCACCCAAAATATTTTGTATTATCATTAATAATGATAAATATAGGAATAATTCATTTTTTTAGATATTTTCATTTCTAAAACAATGAAAGTAATTATTAAACAACTTGTTCTTACTTATTTACGATTCACCCTGTACAGACAAATATTTTTGGACTTCTGCATATATTCGTAGAGTGTGAAATGATGTTAAAATAATAGTAGACACACAAAATTATAATTGTATAGCTTTTTCCTGTAATAACTGGTAATAAAAAGATTGTAATTTTCTAAGTTTAACATCCTGTATCTCATAAACCTATCAGAAAAAGCTATAATTTTGAAAAATATCTTCTATAGGATGATTGACACGTCAGTAAAAAAAATATGTCTACTTTTAAAGGACTAATCAAAAAGTATAGGGTGCTTAAAAAATGTTTTTTGACTCATTCGTTAAATTAACTATAAATATATTTATCAAAACACCTTGTAGGCAATGAATTGGATAATTATACATATGGTAAATACACAAAAGTCCCGTAAATGCTGTGTTTTACATTAATACTTATAAAAAAAATATATTGGCCCATGTCGATATTTACGAATCACCCTGTATAAATGGCCCTTAATATCTTTTGTATTATCATCAGACATGATAAATAAAGCAATAATGTATTTTTTAGGAAATATTTTTACCTTTTAGAACAATAAAAGTAATTATCAAAAACAGGTCCTTACTTATTTGTAGCTCACCCTGTAAAGGAAAACAATTTGTTACATCTTTTTATATTCGTAGAATGCGAAAAGATGTTAGAATAAGATTTGGCACAAAAAATTGTAATTGATTACCTTTCTCCTGAAATGACCGTTATCAAATAAGTGGTATTTCTTAAGTTTAATACCCTGTATCTCAAAAACCAATCATAGAAAAAAGCTGTAATTTTGGAAAATATTTGCTACAGGACGGATGATACTCCAGTGAAAAAATATGTATACTTTTACAGGACTAATCAAAAAGTATAGGGTGCTTAAAAAAATTGTTTTTTTGACACATTCGATAAATTAACCATCAGTATATTTATTAAATCACCCTGTAGTCAATGAATTAAATAATTATACATATGATAAATAAATAAAGTCCCGTAAAAATACTGCGAATCACATTAATACTTAAAAAATTAAAAATTGGCCTATGTCGATATTTACGAATCACCCTGTATAAATTACACCTAATATCATTTGTATTATTATTAAGTATAATAAATATAGTAATAATTTATTTTTTAGTAAATATTTTTACCTTCTAGAACAATAAAAGTATTTATGAAAAACATGTCCTTACTTATTTCTGGCCCACCCTGTAAACTTAAATAATTTTTGACCCCTTTTTATATTTATAGAATGCTAAAAGATGTTACTATAAGATTTGGCACAAAAAATTATAATCGATTAGCTTTCTCCTGAACTAACCGTTATCAAATAAGTGGTATTTCTCAAGTTTAACACCCTGTATCTCAAAAACCAGTCATAGGATTTGAATGGTCCCACAAACACTATTGCTTAGGAGGTCGAGAACTGCAACATATCAAAAATTTATGATATTTAACAGGTCGCCACTTTTCCATAAGCGGTGTGCGGGGTCCTTTGCCGACGAAGTTCGTCGACGGAATGCGTTCGCGAATTCCGTTCGCAAAGTTCGTAGGACACCGTGTTTTTTTAAGAAGACAGATTGACCGTTTAATTGGACGGAAATGATCAATTTCAGTACGCAAATCAGTAGTTTACAATCTGTGCTGTGGCTATGGAGGGTTTTCTACAGCTTTTATTAGAGGAACAATTTACTGTTGAGGAAGACGAGTTGCTGCTGGAACTATTAAAAAATGAAAAATCGGAGAACCTTTTCTAAAAGAAAAAAATCAGAAGGAGCCTATGAAGCACTAATTAAGCGACATTTATTTAAAAATGAAGCAAAATTTCGAGAATATTTTCCATTGACGCCAGTTTTGTTTGTCTAAGATCTAAATTCTAAGATCTATAAATTTCTCCTCATCTTCGTTGGAAAATTGCAGCTGTTGCTAACTTTTATTGGACATATTTTATAACTATAATGTCCACACCTCACGAATTTCAAATAAGAACTGACAGCGGAATTGCGCTGAAACCAAATATGTTTTGATTCCAACGGACAACGCCGGCGCATTCCGTTAAAAATAAACGCCTAACAGGTTTTAAAAAACGGACGGTTTGGATAGTACATTTTTAAATACGGCGAACTTCGCGAACGCATTTCGTCGACGAACTTCGTCGGCAAAAATCGCGACAGAATGTTCTTAAAAACCAAGCATTAAGACATAGAAGGTGCTTTTGATAAAACCACCTACCCAAAAATAATACACTCACTAACCAACAGGAATGTTCCACAAATGGTTAGTGGGTGGATACATAACATGATGTAGGATCTGGTGAGGCGAGACGTCACTTTTGGCAAGAGGCGCTCGATACGCTCCCACTGCTTCAAGCGAACATGGACTCCATCTCACCGAGATATATCTGGAAGATAAGCCATATAAAGTTATAATAGAACAAATAGAAGAGGCAGAAGTGGCAGGCACGATTCATATCTACACCGACGGTTCTAAAACAAAACAAAGCTCAGAATGCAGAATATACTCCAGATTCTTAAACCTAAACATAAAATGGGATGTGAGCAATAGTGTCAGTGTAGTTTAAACAGAGCTAACGGGGATTTTCATAGCAGCAAAAGAAATGACCAGAAATAATATCACTGGAAGGAACATGCTCATCTATACAGATAGCAGACAAGCACTACTCACCCTGAACAGACCACGAATTTATTCAGGGTTGGTACTAGAATGTCATGAAGCTTTGGCCGAAGTATCCATCAACAATGTGGTCACCTTAAGATGGTTGAAAGGTCACGCCACATCGAAAGGTAACCGTCTTGCCGATTCACTAGAAAGAAAACAGCCAACCAAATACTTTTTGGAGCTGGCCCTTCTATTGGCCTGACAAAATCGGTAGTGACAGACCTAATTAACAAACATTCCCTTGTGAAATTCAAGGAAAGATGGGATGAAACAAGAAACTGCAGAGTTGCCAGGGAGCTCTTAAGTTATCCTGACAATACTACAGCAAACAAATACTTGACTATGACTAGACAGAATCTGCGTCTGGTCACAGGCATTCTGATTGGTCATTGCCAAGTACGGAAGCATCTCCATATCATGGGGCTGTTAGAATCCGCACTCTGCAGAGGGTGCGAACAAGAAGATGAGACCATCGAGCATATCCTTTACGATTGCCCGACGCTCTCATTTATTAGAAGATTTGTGTTCGGCGAGTATCGGCTAATACCGGCCGATATAAGAGAAGCACCTCTTGGCGACATTGTCAACTACATTAAATCTGTAGGCTAGCTAACGAGCTACGAGGTGCCTATCATCTTAGGAGGATGCACAATGGGCCTAATGAGGTCTAAGTGCCGTGGGGTAACCCACCCTCAACACGTTACAGATACAGATGGACCCGATTTTTTCCAACATTTATCGAATCCATATAATCTATGAAATGATTAGGAGTGGTTGAGAGCTGTAGATTCCTTTGCTAAGAGATCAACAGTATTGTTACCGGAAATCCCTGCGTGGCCTTTCACCCATACGAAATGAACAATACATCTTATATTATGCAAGTCCTGGAGTAATTTTTTGACGTTACAAATAGTGTTTGACGTAGCAAAGCTGGAAAAGGATGAACTATTTTTTATAGCCTCTAAAGCAGATCTAGAATCTGACATTATTAATGCATTGGAGGGATTAAGCATCAACGACTCAACGCATTTTCTATAGCCATACGGGGTTATGATGGACAAATAATGTTATTTTTAACAGACACGTTATTTGTGAACAAGTTGTTATTTCTGTGTGTTTATAAAATAACAGACCTGTTAAAAACAACCCAGGTTGTCAATCATAACCCCCATAATCTCAGCGGAGTATGCTGTACAAAAGTTTTGGATTTTATTTTTTGTTAACATATTTATCGGGGATGAAAACAGCATAACCTATACCCTCACTAGTTTTGGAACCGTCGGTTGAGAAATTATTATTAGCAAAAATTTAATTAAGTACGGCTCGGTTAGAATGTTCAATATCAGTGTATTTTAGCAAAATAACAGTTGGCTTTAACAATATTATCGAAAAATCGAAAAATCAATTTTAAAAATAGGAAGCTTTTTGGATTCTGTTGTGGATTTAATGCAATCTGGTAAATTAGAATATGCCTCAACAAAAGGAGGGTAGTTCTTTTTGGACCAATATTTATTTGTTAAATTTTCAATATACAACTGAAAAATATTAATGTTCAAAGGATTAACACATTGAAAATATTTCCAACGCACTACTCTTTTATAGGACAAGAAATATATTCTGAATTCAAGGGGGGGCTCCTGAGCCCCTACTTAAATGGTGAGATTTGAAGGATTATTTTTTATTTTCTACACCTGATTTAAATTACATCTCAAAATGTGATGTTTTTCAATAGTGCGTATTTTTTTATAATTGGGTTTCCATTGATTATCTAACTAAATTTTCCCTGTATATTGAAAATGTATATTGCCAAAGATCCTTTTTCAGAACTGAATTAGTTTAGAAATAAATAAATGATGAACTTTCCTTTCATTGCAGATTCGTGTGGTGTTTTTGTGTTGGCTACCGTGGGTTCTGCGTATGCAAAGACCAGCGGATAAAGAATCGTCGTTCGTTACGTCGCCGAATCGTTCGTCGCCGCCCGAACGGAAGCCGATTCATTTTCCCGAAGTCGAATTAAAGGAACGATCATCGAAAAGTCTTTTAGCCAACGTTCTAGATATAGATGACGATTTTAGACATAATTACAGAGGAGGAGGGACGCCGACACCACTTCAACCTGCAACGTTTTTTAGTAGAACTGTTTATAGGTAAGCATCGATTTTTATTACTTTGATGAATACAAATCAACATATTCCGGCTCCGACTATAAATGAAGACTTAAAACGTTTATTGCAGACAGTAAAAAATTTCAGGAATGTGTAACAAAGTTGACATCTGTTGAAAGACTAATTTCTTTCTTTATAAAAATTAGGCAATTACCCAGCTGTATCAAAATTCTTCTGCAACGGAATATAAAAAAATATTATTCGCGAATATTTTTCAGATTATACAGTAGATGCGGCCACAAATTTTTTCGTTATTATAACAGAAACCGTAATAGTGCCTTATTGGAAGAAGATAAAATCGTTGTTTGCCGCAGAAAATATTTAAATTAAATTCGTAGATATCGCAATGAGGGGAAAACATTTATTATGCTGACGAAACCTGGGCCAATCTAGAGTATACTGTTACCAAAGCTTGGCAAGATTTCAAAATTAAAAATCATAGAGATGCTTTCTACGCGATAACCTTCGGGTAAAGGACGTCGTTTAATAATTATGCTTATTGACATCCCCCAATCTTAGTTAATCTTAATTTTAAATTATGGCTCACGTACAAGCCCCAAAGCGAAATAATGATTTCAAATTTGACTACTTTTAATTTTAAGTATTTAATTAAATAAAATTGAATCAGATCGTAATATTTCGAAGCCAATCTACCATTTCACTATGCGCCATTAGTTACAGACCATTCTGTATATATTTGATGATGGATAAAGTGGTAGAGGTGTTATGGAAATGTACCAACAATTACTGACCTTACTTCAAATGAAAATATAAAAATAATTTTTTTATTGGGTTAAAGTGCATATTTATACCTATCTCTGTATCTGTAAGGTGGGTTGCTTCACAGCACTTATGCCTCATTGGACATATTATGTATCCTTCATATGCATATAGGATCTGTCTCTCAAATTGTCAAAAATCTGTTGGTTGTCATTGACAGGTATCTAAAGAGAGTCATCGTCCTAGACATCAAAGTTTTGCAGGTTACCAACTCATCAAAAACCTGCTGGTTGTCTAGAGATACCCATCTTTTCAGCTCATCAAAGTCCGGCAGGTTATCAACTCCCGGGGGTGTCTTGGGATAGCCAGCCTTTCAGTACAAAATCCTGCTAGTTAATAACGTCTCTATAGGCTTCATTTTTGGGAAGTTGTCAATCTGTGGCCTTCTGCTACCTCAATGATAAATGCCCCGATGAAGTCAATCCGTCCGTCTGCTCTATAGGGCGTATACCGATGTAAAAAATCAAAATTTTGGAGCCGTGACAGATGTCAGTATTCCATTACACACTTCCAAATTGTTTTACTGTCTACAATTAACGTATTCAACTATAGGCGTTAATCATCATAGTGCCCTATTCGCCTCGCTCCTCGATTTGTAATAAGGAATTAAGAAACTGTAGAGATCAAAGTTGGAATTTACACCAGGCCAATTGTGAATACATTTCACTAAGCTAATCCTATATTGGCATCACGTGAATATCTCAATCCATTGTCTCAATCCTCTCCACTAAATTGGAATCGTTTCAAATTTGTTGGAGCTGTTAGCTTCTCCCACCACTCGCTCAGTGGATTGGCTGTGGAATGGAATTGTGCTAATCCACTAGGCGTTTATCGGGCGCACGTATTATTATTTTTGTGCTACAATCAAGATAGTTCTAAGAAAATGGACTGCTGAGATGACATCAACATTTATAATCTTATACTCGTACAGTAAAGAAGAATACCTTTGAAGAATTGACAGTTTATCATACCATGGCAGAGAAACAAGAAATATAGCTTTAATAAAGATAATTGTTGGAATGGGTTTACCAGAAATTACAAAGGAATTGAACATAGATGAAATTACGTATCATCGTATCCAATTTTTGTATACTAAGACAAATTAAGCCAAGAAGTGTTTCAAATAACTCTGGCGCCATTCTCATGCAAAATTTTTATTTTTTAGGATCTTTTGTTTCTAATTATCTAAAGATAAGACCTGATTGACCTAGTGTAGATCATCTAGCTTGCCATGGTCTAATGCATCATCTTCCCTTAGCAGTTACTTCTTCCTCCATTATTTTGAAGATCTAGTGTAGCATTACAATTAACACTCTTTAAAATTTGCCCTTAAAGCTATTCGCTAATCCATTCTGCAGATACACACCTATATGTAGGTACTTGGAATTGTCGTTTTACACGTAGGCGAGCCAAGTGCATCTATTTGTTCATGTGCAGAATGAGGATCAATTTAAAAAAAATAGTGAATTTTAATGCAAAACAAGATTCTCGAAATAATAGAAGAAGAAGCTATGTTTCTTGCATCTCTGTCATGGTCAATTTTTCAAAGCATTCTTCTTCTTTGTGTACCATTACAAATTTGAATTCATCTCGGCAGTCCATTTATTTAAAACCATCTTGAAACTTGCACAAAAATAAAAAACAATAACACGTGCGCTCGCCAAAGACCTAGTGGATTAGCCTACTGGCTAGAAACGTACGTTTCCACAATAATAATAATAATATAATAATACTCTCCCTAATTCACCCCCTTACGAGTGAATGCCGTGGCGCAATGCCATTCCATAAGCCATTCTACAAGCCAACCATCTCCGCGAATAATAAGGGAAGTTAATTTTGTGGCGTAGCTTGAGATAATGGATTGAGACATTCCATTCACATGGATTGAGAATTCACACGATACCAATATTGGCCTAGTGAAATGATCCATAAAGCAATGTTCAATTTCCATTTGCAGGCAAAACGAAGAGAGTGGTGGAGCCAACGGAAACGGGGGCGGACCTCGCTTGCACGATGCCATCGTTTCGAATCATTCATGCATCGGTGCCGATTACGAGCTAGCCATGATCCTTAAGGAGATCCGTTTTATCACCGATCAACTGCGAAAAGAAGACGACGCCGCGAACATCACCAAAGACTGGAAATTCGCGGCCATGGTGGTAGACAGATTGTGCCTTATTATATTCACTCTGTTCACTATCATCGCCACGCTAGCGGTGCTATTTTCGGCACCCCATATCATTGTATCGTAGCCAACCCCCGTCCCCGTCCTAGTCCCACTGCAGATCCCAACCATACTATTACTATTATTATTAATATTAATAGATGAATAGCGATCTTCCTCTTTGATATACTACACCCTGGGTATCGATACGAATATCTTCTCTAATTTGAGCTGGTTTGTTTCAACTCTACGAACGCATTTGAATATTTCTGTTTTTTCTTCAAAGTAATCCAAAAAATCTTACATAGGAATAAAATACCGTAAAATGTAGGAGATGTCGGTAATTTGCGTGGATACAGACGCACTTAATTTTTTTTTTAAAATTGAACTAAGTTACCCAACAAACAGAAATCACTTATATTTTATCACGAAAAATGACGGAATGCCAAATTCTGACCAACCTACGCTAAACAAAGTCATTATTCATTTGAGATAAACAAGTCTAATGTGTATCATGAATATGGGCTTATTCCACTTACACCGTCAATGTTAAAGCTCGATTTAAAAGAAAACAACGCGTATAGCGTTATACCACAATAATTTATGTTAGCTTTTCAAGAACATAGACTTGACTTTTTTGCGTCCTTTATGTTAAACGTATATTTTTTTAAAAAATTAATATTGTATGTAATTTATTTGTTTTGTGGGGCCCATTTATTGTAAATTTAAACAACAATGACATAACTTACTTCTTATAATTCAAGAATAATGACCGATGTTTGAATTGGGCCTGTTTGTGAGGATTAGGTACTTGTATTTTTTTCATTAATTTTTTTTAATTTTATATAAAGTTAACCTATGAATAAATCAACTACATTTTAAAATATGCAAAAAAACTTTTATAAATATATTTAAAAACGTCATTCTGAAAAATCGACTATTTTTAATAGCGTCGTTGTTCTGGCCAACCAGCAATATACCGGGTCATTCTATATGGGCGGAACACTTGATTTATGGCTTAACTATGACTTGTACGATAATTTGACTTAGATAAAAGTTATTGTACATTTTATGTACTATTTATTGACGTTTACAGATTTCCCGCATACGTAATGATTTTCAAGATATGGCGTCATCGGGCAATATTTTAAAATGGATCACCCTGTATTTATATTTTTTTTCGAGTTCGTATGATCTGTCTGATTTCATCAATGGTACATTTAGTGGGTCCCAGACTTATTTAAAATATTGCACGATGACGTCATATCTTGAGAACCATTACGAATGCGGGAAATCTGTAAACGTCAATAAATAGTACATAAAATGTACAAAAACTTTTATCTAAGTCAAATTATCGTACAAGTCATAGTTAAGCCATAAATCAAGTGTTCCGCCCATATAGAATGACCCGTTCCGCCCATATAGAATGACCCTGTATATCTAATTGTTAAGAAAACATTAATAACAATTTCCTGTAAACGTCCTATCTTCCATTCTACAGGATAATGACGTGAATTTCATAAATACTTTATTTTCTAAATATATTTCCTTAGGGTAAAGACATTAACTTAAAAATATATACTCGGTGTCCAAATAAGAAAGGATACCTTCCATATCTAAAGAACCATTTGCCTTACAGATCTGAGTTTTTCTTTTATAAATAAAAGTGGTTTCTTAAAATCGCTGGAAATTATTTTTAAGTTCCTAACATTGTCACTAGAAGAGGAAATGCTCATGGCCAAGTTTTTTCAAAAAAAAAATGTCAAATTAAGTTATGTCAAAAATGTGAAAATCGTTGACTACCCACTTGTGTATCTGCTTATCATTGGTCATAAGCATTACGCCATCTAGTGTTGAAGTTAGTAATTTCAAAATTTCCAGCGATTCGTCTTTACGGTACTTTATTATTTCACCCTGTATACATAAAAATAAGGGCATAATGGGTATATAGAGCGATCATGCAAAAATGTATTAAACTACAGGACGTCCCAAAATATTAGGATCTAACACTTACCTTTTTTTAATGTCCAAATATACATGAATTTTCATTTGAAAAAAAAAGCAAGTGATCAATCATAATATTTTGGGACGTCCTGTAGAGTTTAATATATTTTTACATTCCTATCATACCTAACTTATTTTAATTTTCTTTTTAGCAAAAAAAATTATCACCACTACCTTTTCAAAAACTGTTTTTATGGAAATAACAATAGCTTTTACTAGGATGGATTGCACACCAATCCTAAAAAAATATTCATTTTATGTCACAACTTACTTGAAAAATTTAATTTTTCTTCTAAAATTTTGAGACAAACTGATATACAGAATGTTACATTATTAACATTTAATTGACTCGTGTTTTATAAGGTTCGTTATTTTTTTGTAACTACATTATTTTTCAACCTCCCCACCAACTCATAAAAATGGAGAGGTTATTGCAATCACTCCAAAATTCAAATTTCAAATCTTTACTTTTTAGGGTCGTAGGAACCCAAAAAAACATGTTTTTAAAAATGTCCGGATGTAAGTTTTTTGTGTAATGTTTTTTGTTAGCATAGTATAGCCCAAACATTAGTTTTCAGGAACTCTGAAAAGCTTATTATATTTTGGGCATAGTCGGAGCAACTGGGGAATTACTTTATAGATGGTTGTTTTTCTATTTTTTTTATACATTTCTGTTATTTATGATTGAAGATGATGATGTCATGATCTGTATTTTTTGTTTTATACACATAATGTCCTCAAAATGGACCGTTTTGTTTTGGCCAGTATCTAACTTAAGTGGAAAGTCATGTTTTGGGACACATGCATCAAATATAAATGTGAAAAAATTAGTTTTTAAGCAATTTTATTATACAGAGTATTACTCTTCTGAATTATCATAATTTTATTAAATATGTATACTCCAGTACAGTTATTTTTTTAAATCAATAAAATATAAATTATTTCGTTTTAAATTAGGATAAATTTTTACAGTAAATTTAAAATACAATTCTTATTTCCTAGAGTTTTTGAAAGGGTGGAATGACAGCTGGTTTGAAAGATCTGTATACTGTAGGATGTATTATAGGTGAGAAATTGTTACTCAAACAGATTTATTAGAAAAGCGATTTTTTTTTAAATTAGTTGTGCGGCAATTTTGAAGAAAAAACAAGAATAAAAATGTGATTCATAGAGGCTCAACATCGAATAGATGTTCGTAAAAAGGATTGATTGAAAAAATTTTATTAAAATAACTAAAGTATAGGATATCATAAATAAAGGAAAGCTAAGTAAGTTTTGGATTTTTTCAATTAACATCTGTGCGTAAATTATTCATAAAGCTGATACGAATCAAAATTAATTTCTTGTCTTGATTGGCAAAAAATCTTTGAATGGATTTTTTGTCGATAGTGTCCTCTCATACAAGCAATTAATTTTTCATATGCTACACGGTGACTTTACAAATAATTAAAAAAAATTTTATACAAAAAAAGTACATAAAAAAAGGTCCACCTTCAGCTATCGTATAACTTGTTGAATAATAATATTTTCCCAGTGTGTACATATTAAACAGGACTTATTCTAGTAGATCTACAGTTGGTAATTTTTATACCCAATTTTAGTTGTTTTCATGTTGATTAGGGTATTGACATAATCATACTGTGATAATTCAAGTTTAATATTGAGTTTATCATATATTTCTGTATATACATATAGCTAGTTTCTGGATTGCTATCTGATCGGCTTGAATTCAGGTGTAATGACTAATTTAGTCGACTTAGGAAACGAAATTTTAAAAAACATCTAAAATTTCAATGTTCACTTTCACAGTCAACCAAAATAATCTGTACACCTCTTACCGAAAAATGGTGATCTGTCAAATGTTATAAAAATTTTATATACGAGGGCTGATCCAAAGTGTTTTCTTTATTTGTTTTACAAAAAACCTTTAACTCCTTCAAAGGACTCTTTTATTCCCCTGTTCAAAACGCTTTCCTTTCATGTCAATTTAATTTGAGGGGAAAAGGGTTAAAAAGAGGAATGGGGTAGAACGATCATACCATTTTTGGTCAAAATTCAACGCGCTATGTGAGCGGGAACGTTGTTATCGTGGAAAAACCAGACCCCTACTGCCACAACCAGGCTTTTTCCCGGAAACTGTTGGGAAATCTTTTCAAGACTCCCAGAACTATTTCGCGAATTTTCGTAGGTTTGGGGTATCGAAGGAAGTCCAGAGTGAAGTTAGTAATCAATTGATGTTTCCCAACTTTTAAATGGAAAAGCACTCAAACACTATTATCCTCATACCATCATTGTTGTTTTCCATGCGGTATGCAGAGTCTTTTCTATTTATAATTGAAGATCTTAACTTCAAAAGGGTCTAGGTGCTAAAATTTAAAAAATATACATTTTTGCATAAAAAGGTTCAATAAACCAACTCTAACGGAATATAAATGGGTGCATTTTAAAAGAACTCCCTTTTAGACCGTCAGATAATGACACATGGAAAATTCGATTTTCCCCAACAAAAATGAAAGGTTATTTATTGTCCATATTTCCAAGCAAGCCGTTTTCACTATATGATTAATTAATAGAACTAGGCTTTGGAAAACCAAAGGCTTTAATGTTGCAAGTGGCTAAAGGGTTGAAATAAGGGCGTAATCTTCTAAGGAAATATCGAGATTTTACCAGATTTTTCCACATAAGCCCATCGAATGTATGAAAACGTACATCGTCACTAGTCCGAAAAATATATTTTCTTGTATAAGTGCATTTTGGGGTCGGAAAATTTTTCTGATAAGGAAAATCGGATTTTCCATGTGTTGTCCCCAAGAGCCAGTCGTAAATTTTATTTTATTCTACTCAACATCGATGTAGTTTTCAAACCTCTTCAAGGCTTGAGTGCGAAAATGGGGCACCTAAATCGGTCACTATCTGACGGTCTATTTTTTGTAGTGCGGTAAACATGGCCAATGTATATGTGCGTATATGATGTATAAAATTTTTATTTTAGTCATAACTTTTTTCCATGCTTTTGGCACTTAGACCCTTTTGAAGTTATGGTCTTCAATTATTTATCATCCCAAGTCTGTTTCATTTATTAAAAATACATTTCTCCTGGAGTAAAGTGTAATGTTTGTTTTTTTTTTGTTGTTTTCTATAAGAAAAATTAATCAAGACTTCAACGTACGCAAAAAAACACTGGATTTCTTTTCATTAATTCCTTCCATGTACAGATGATATTACAATAGCAACTGGTAATAAAAGAGGTCGAAATTAAGTAATAAAGATAATAGAAAATTAGTTCTTGAGATAATCGAGTCGAAAGCAAAGTTTTTGAGATGGGCATAATAACCAATGACGTATTTCGCACATGTTTCTAATATTGTTCAAAAATTATATGCATTCATTTAACAGAGAGCAGTTCCAATTTGCTAAATCTTAAATAAAGGACAGGTATTTCATTTGAATTTTTAAAAATCCGTTTCCTACTAATGTCGACTAAATTAGTACGTATTGATCAAATACACAATACACGTATATGTGATTTGGTATTTCTTCTCCAAACATTATCTTGACCCTGACAATATCACATTCTATTATAATTAAATTACAGCTACATGTATGATTGAGTTCTTCCTAATGCACAGTTTCAAGACCATAAACTACAACTATATCTGCTAAAAATTTGTTAATATTGTTATTTTAATAGCTCTGCATACATAAGCAAATTTGATGTGAACTCCGATATAAAGAAATAAGTGTTCTACGGTATTTTAAGACATTTAAAATGTATCCAGAAATATTTTGACATGTATCAATCTCAGATTTTTATTTTAAATTAAAATAATTTAATGATTCTTTCACACTGCAAAATAATATAAACCTTTGTAATAAAGGCTTTGAAATAATTTATACATAAGAATTCACCATGATTTTTAAAATAAGAATACTTTTCCTTTGCATCTTTTTTAAATTTCTTTCAAAAGTTGCATACACTTTTTTCTTTTCCTTTATCTTCATCGATGCTTTTTGGACTTTCCATTGGGATAATTATTACTTAAACAGTGTTAAAAAAATAGGTAATTGAAGTACCGTAAAACACTCATAACAGTATAGAGAAATTGTAATTTGCAAAACTTCTAATTTTTAAGCAACAAATTTAATATGTACATAATTAATAAGGAATATTACAAAGTTTTGTAAACAATTTTCGATCTCTATACCTCAATATTACAATTAGTAATCGAACTATATATTCCTTGGACTAAAGTGACCGCAAAAATATACTGGAATAGCATCAGAAGAATACTGGTATTGAAATCCATCTGTTTAGTTAATTAATTGTTTAAATCCACAATATTTAGTTGGGTAACTATCACAACCCACCAGAGATTTTGGTGCTTTATAATTAACAGTTTTCAAAAGTCCGTTTTTGTCAAAGTAATAATTTTATCTACTTTTATCAAAATGTCTTATGGATAATCTCATGAATTGTGGTCTTAGTGATTCTACTGTCAATAAAAAAGCGTACCTTTACTGATAGAAAAGAGGCAACAGATTCTTATATCTTGTATAAAAAAATAAATAATTAATATCTAGATAAAAATTGAGTTATTACGAAAAAAAATTGTAGGTATTTTTGGAATCAACACATCAATATTATTAGTTCTTACTCTTCTGGCACCAAGATTGTGGGCTGTGTTATCCATCATTGAACACTGAAGATTTTTTACACTCAAAGTATAAATCAGTTACATATAACCAAAAATTAACTCTGAAGATGTAAAATTTCTCAATTTCAACACCATCTGTCTTAAAAATTTGCATTCAAGATTGAACCAAGTTTAAGGCATTCTCACAACTATTCTAAAAATTCTGATATTATTCTAGAGTGAACTGCATTCACTTGTTCCTCGTATTGTTCAACTAATTGTATGATTGTAGTGTCCTAAATGTGAACAATGATGAATTTCGGTAGATCAAATTAATCAAAATT